GTTGTTTAGCACATTTCAGGTTAAGCCTCTGGAAGGGAATTCAGAGCAAGAGCAAAGCAATACAACATATTCACGGTGGGGTATTAAATAAGAAACTGTGAGACAATTTCCAATGTTGACCTCAGGTAGAGAGGAGAGGAGCAAGTCAGCTTGTTATAAAGCAGCCCAGGGATACAAATTATTCTTTTTGTTTCTTTACATTCTTCCTTCTACTGCCAATCTCTGGCTTCTCCATAGAAAAAAACCTTTTGCTTTTTTTGTTGTTGTTGTTATTGTTGTTCACTGTGTTTACTTCACAATGTCTTGTCTCTCTAACTTTACATTTTATTTTATCCAAATAAATAATGTTAGCCTATGATAAATACAGTAATGGCAAGTCAAAGGAGGTGGTTGAAGAGATTTAATTTTCTAAATTATGCCGCTAGCCCTGGTTTTGTAATTTATACTAGATCAGACCCTTCAAAAGCTGATTTCCTATTTTATACCAGTCCAATTATTACTAATGATGGGCTTCTTTACCAAATGGAAAGACTAATAATCCTTTGAACTGTTATGTAATTCCATTGTAGTTAGTTAGTGTGAATACCTTGTAGTTTTTTCTGCATCCCCCAAAGTGTTTGTAATTCCTTAAATTATACTCTTTTTGTGAGAGGTCCCCCCAGGTCTCCCCTGTTCTAATCCCATGGGCCAGGCAGTTGTTACTTAACAGGGGAGGGATTAGTTTTCTAGGATGCCTGGTCAGCATTGTGAACGCCTTTGCTGAGTTTTGCTTTCCTGCCGTTTCTTCTCTTTCTCTGCCCTCTTTTCCTCGGCCACTGCCTCCTCTTCTTCCCCGGCCCCTTTGAAACTTGGGCCAGTGCATTTTTTGGAACATAGTTTGTGCTCAGTAAACACTTTGGGAGATATGTCAAGAAAAAAAAGCATTTGTCTCCCATTGACTTCTACCCCTAAATTGGCCTTTCTGAAAAGTAGCTCCTGCCATAGTATCAGTGTTACAATGAGTGGTCCTTGTCACTCTTTATTATTTACCTGCTACTCCCTCAGTCCTACATACTAGTAGCAGGATCCAGCATGTCATCACTGCACATGTCTTTTTGTGCAGTTGAAGTTCTCATGTCTCAGTGAGTTCTAGAATATGATTTCCATGGATTTGCCCAGGGCCATCTCCCATATTGGATTACCGTCGGTCGGTCCTTTACTGTCAAGCACACGACTACTTTTCTTACAATTTTAACACCTGGAAGGAGACTTGAGATTCTAAAAAGCAGCCCTGTACAGTTCTGGGAAGGAAAAGGAAATGTTATGCTTACAAGTATTTGAAACTAACATTTATTTACCAAATGCATCTATAGCTCTTCCCATGTCGATATTACGCTAAGCTCTTTATGTAAATGAACTCTTTTTTATACTTGTGAAGCCTATGATGTAGGTGTTGTTAACTCTCAGCCCATAGATGAGGAAACTGAGACGACATACCTTGTCAGATCACACAGATTGTCCTTGGTGAGGTCAGGGGTCACACCCGGTCTGTCTGGCTCTAGAATTGATGCTGTTGACCATCCAGATAAACTGCTATTAGGTCATTGTACAGACAGTAATTATAGATGGATAAAACATGTTTGCAAGATAAGATTCTCCCAGATATTAAAAAGATACAGAGAAAAAAAGCCAGTAGCTAATTGAGTCAAACTTTCTGACATATAAGCATGGAAGGTAAATTTTCCCAGAGAAACTCCCATGCTGAGACCCTTTCTGAGGGTGCATGTGTTTCTGGAGCTGTGTTTCTCCAACCGAAGTCACTCACTGCTCTTTGCCCACTTGCATTTTATCACAGACAGTGATTCTTGCAGTATTCTAGCCAGGAATCTTCTTAGCAGACCACCAGGGCATTCCTGGGGGCCGAACTTGCCAGCACTCATGCAGCATCCCCAGTCCTGCAGCTCTGTCTCACTTGCCAAGCTTCCTTTAAGCCCTGACTGTCGCCTCAAAGCGCTACCTGGTCCCTATGACACAGCCACGTGTTTGAGATTTTCCTCATGGCCACACCTTGCGTCCAAGATCTGCTGTGGTTGTCTAATGCTGAAAAGCGTAGTGGCTGAAGGCGCAAAGTCATGATTGATTCTCCGTTCAGCCTCTCCACTGTCGAGGTGGCTGCTCTGCCCGGATTGGTGGGCAGTAACCTCTGTTCCTTTTTAGTATAAACTGTATCCAGGAGTGAACATCCCAAGAGCCTGCTGAAAGCTTGTGTCCACCACAGTCACCAGCCCACCCTACTTCAAGAAGAGAGAAGGTAGAGGTCGTCTCTCAGTGATGGGGAACCAGCTGCACTGTGAAAGAAAACATAGGCACAGGAGATATTGCAGTCATTTCTGGAGAGCTGTCTGCTACCAGTGGAGAGAGACTAGAAGATTCTCTCCACTCTGTACCCATTGGTCTCCATCTCTTCCTTATTACCACAGCTAAGCAAATTCAAATCATTTGCATTTTCTGCTTTGTTGGGTATGTTTTCATTTAAATACGCATGTGTACGTACATGTCAGCATTCTCCTCGTCCATTTTTTGCCAATGCGTTGTGGTTTGTTTTATTTTTTCATTAATATTATACTTGAACAGACTCGGCCAACTACTTGAAGAATCAAATTCTTTAAACAAAGAAGATTCACATCTAGTTCATGTTCTGGTTTGCATTTATAGATCAAATGCTGTAAGGAGTTATTGGAAAATGATGGTGATAATTTATTCTTTTCCTAATGGTAGCCTCTGAATGGTGATGAAAAGTAATTCAAAACAGGTTAGAAAATGATTTGCTGTTGACAACGGGTATGTTTTGCAATGAGTAGACTGTTTCATACTTTAAGGACAAGCTTTGTGAAGTATTCATTCATTCTGCTGGTATTCTTGAGTATTGTGTCAGGCATTGAGTTTCCATTGGCCAGTGAAGCCAAAGTCATGGTCCTGCCTTCATGGAAGGTGACCTGTGTGAGGAAGATGGACATGCACTTGGAATCACCAAGTGAGCAAGAACCACCACCTTGTTAAGTGCTGTAGAGGAAAGAGGCTCTGGAGCATCAGAAGGGAGCCTCACCTCATCCCCCCTCCACAAAGTGCTTTTTTTTTTTTTTTTAAGATTTATTTATTTATTCGTACAGAACTGGGGTATAATCCAGAGATGCGGAGGGTGAGAGGATTCACCAGAGACAGAGTGGGGAGCAGAACAGGCAGATTGACGAAGTCCACTGCTGAGGGGAGCAGCGGGCGGGTCAGGAGAGGTCTGCCTCGCCATGTGGATCTCCTCCGGGGCAGGCGGGAATCGAACTCAGGAGGAAGTGGCTTAAGCTTCTCAGTGCTGTGCTTTAACCCGCTGCACCACCAGGAAGGGCCCCACAAAGTGCTTTTTTAAAACAGATCTGGAAGAAGATGACGTAGCCTTGCCAAGAGACACAGGCAAGTGTGTGCTGAGACCTTTGGCCCCCATGCCACAGGTATTTCTAGAGAGTCATCGGTTCTGCTGTGCTTCTGTTCAGAGACCGTTGAGGAACTAACTCTTAGACAGCATGTGTTCATACAGGCCTCACAGAGCCGAGGTCTGTATTCCAAGCAGCCTTTTTTACTTACAAAGCATTACTTAATTTTGAGTAGTGGTGATCACAGTTAACAAGTACAACTCAAGTACAATTCAAGGGAGAAAGTACCAAGTGGCTCGTCTTTTCACGTTCTTTATATGAGGGTCAGTGCACTTTTTCCCAGACTCTGTTGTGGGATTTCATTGCAACAGATTAAATATTAGAAGCTTGAGTGAGAATTCATCTATCATCTCTCTAAGCCAGATAGTTTTTTCCCCCCATAACAATATCATGTCACTATGCATTGGGTTTCTTTTTGTTATTTTTAAATGAATTTCTGTCTTATGGGGTGATAATTATGGATCGATAGTATCCTACATAAACAGAAGTTCTTTTAGGTCCTCAAAAGTGTCTAGAAGCGTGAGGGTGTGAACCCGTGACGTACGGCATTCGTCTTGACTTTAAGCTCGTTACTTAACCTCGCAGAGACACAGGAGTCTGTAAAATGGGATGATGATCAAAGTACTTCCCTCATAAAAAGAGCCAACGAGTTAGTATATGTCAAGGGCTTCTAAGAATACATTCAGCATATGTTAAGCTTTTTTTTATTATTGCCATTTAATATGAAAACAGAATTTATGTGACTCCAAACACTCCTGAGGCCTTGTGATTAAGGATTTTGCCTTTTGTCTGTGGCCATCTGTATTGTTGTGGTAAAACAAAGTATCCAAAAAAGCAAGAAAGTAGATTCTGTGTCTTGTTGAGCAGAGGTTTCTGTGGGCAGGCGGGCAGTATGAGGCTTGAAGAGCTGCAGTTTCCCCCCTGCTGGGGTGCTTTTCCCACCGCCCGGCCCTACCAGTCTGTGCCCTCGTCCCCACGACCAGGTTCTGCCGTGGCCACAGCTGGGTGGTCAGTGAGCTGCTGTTGGGGGAAGCGGCCCTGAGATTGTGCTCCAATCCCTTCCAAAGCCCTTCCAAAGCCCTCACTTTTCAGAATGTGGTGGGGAGTGGAGGGCCCCGAGGACAGATGCTTTCCTGCTGGTTCACCCAGCATGACAGCAGCCTCACCAGGACCACAAGCAGCTTTCTGAGATGTAATGGAAGTTGTAGTAGGCTCAGAGCCAGAAGTTAGCTGCAGTCACTAAAAAGCCTTCCCTGACCATCTGACATTAAGTTGACCTGAGTGTCTGATACTTAGTGTCCTGGCTTATAACAGGAAGGTGAAAATACCAACACCTCAGGGTTGTGGAAAGGGTCCAGTGGATATCTTGCGGTTACCAGGAATGAGACCTCTTAGCCAGTCTCCTTAGTCCTTTGCTTGTCAAGTCTGTGGAGGACACGTTCCAGTGACATAAACAATGCTCTTCAGGATCTAGAAGCTCGCCATAAGTATTTTGCCATACAGCCTGGTGACATTTTTCTTCTTTCTGTCTTCTAGGACAGCCCAGAAACTTGCAGGACCTGTGCCGGATTAAAATTCGACAATGTATAGGCCTTCAAAACCTAAAGCTACTTGATGAACTACCAATTGCCAAGGTCATGAAAGACTACTTAAAACACAAATTTGATGATATCTGATACACTCAGAACTGTGAGCAAGCTTAGGAGTTATATTCCAGATACTTAAAAGGCTTTTGGCCTTGCACAAAGTATATCCTATGCAATTTCTGATTTGCTGCGAAGTCAGAAAGCAGGTATACACCTTTAGGTTGTTTATTTTTGTTGTTGTTGTTTGGTTGATTGGTTTTCCTTGTAGGGGAGGGTTTTTTTTTTATATATATATATAAACACACACACACACCACATGCTTGAAGGTCTTAATTTGGTTTCTTGGTCCAAGATTAAGAGGTCCAAGCTTTCTATACAAAATATGCATTTGCAAAAACCATTTTTCCAAAACGACACAAGCAGGTTTGGAGTGGAGACTCTACCCTTTCCGAATTTACGGTTTCGTTGGTGTGCACGCTATTACAAACCATCAGAACACTTGTCAAAGGGGGAGGCACAGTTTCGCCCGGGTGGGGGTGGGGGGCTCTGGGGGGTACTACTGGAAAATGCCCTAAGAACATTTTAAAGAAATACTGTCACCTTCATTTTTAATGGGTACAAATTGGCTGTTTCAAACTGTTCTTTTCCTAATTAATGTAGCTTTTGAATGACATCAATCCAGTACCTCTGCTTTCCTGTTGACGTGCTCTTGTTTTTAACTTATTTTTTTAACAACTCTAGGACACTACCCAGAGACATTGGGTCTCAACTTGTGTCTCTTGTAGAATGGTGTTTTTAAAAAAATTAATGGGAAAGAAAATAACTTTATAAAGCCAGTGTGTTCTGTTTTGAAAACAGTGCCTCCAGTGCAATATTCTTTCTGGTGTATTTTCTCCATCATTCACTTGATGTTCATCATTCCACAGCCGGCTTTGACCTGCCTGTGAGAACAGGAAGCGCCACTTCTGTTTTAATTGCTCAACCATAGTGTGTCAGTTGCAATTTCCATTTTAAGTTTTGATTTTTACTTCACTTTAAGCAGAAAATTTCATATCCTGGTGGTAGAGTATTCCCTAAAAATAGCCCAAAATATTGTTGGACCATTTGATTGTAATGGTTAAAATAATTTGGGATGGTTTTGTGGGTTTCCTTGTTGTTTTGTTTTTGTTTTTTTAATTTTCATTCGGAAATATTTTTAAAGGGCAAAATTTCTAATGGGTACACATTTGTATGTCTGGTTAATTCCTAATATGCTAATTAAAAGTTTCCTCTCTGTTTTAAAGTTAGACACAGGGAAGCTCTGGGGGCGGTCACACTACTTCCAGGAGTGGATTAGACTTGGTTGGGGTTGCAGTGTAAACACGGATCTGAGAAAGCCGGCAACAGCGGGGAGGTTGCAGAGGCATTGGGGGGCTCTCGCGGGGCCCTTGGAAAGGTGTTCTCTGCTTGGTTTGTCATCAGCTTTGCTTCAGAAGAAACTTCTCATATATCCCAGTATTGTTCTTAGTGCTTTGGGGGAATTTCAGAATCTTTACACACAAATCACAAATGTGTTATCAGAAGTTTACAAGCTAAAGGGCTTCCCTCGTCTGAATTTCTAGCTCTAAGTCACTAAGTGTAAAACTGTTTCACCTGCAAAGTGTGCACAGGCCAAGTTAGGGGCCTGCGCTGCCTTTAGCTCTCTTCAGAGCCAGCAACAGCATGTTCGCAAACACAAAGTTGGTTGCCTTGGACGCAGCCTGGGCCTCAGATCACCGGTCAGCTCGGGCTGTGCCAGTGCACAGCTTTCTGAAGAACAGGCTGCTTTGGAGTTCGGGTGATTGCAGGGAGCTAGAGAGCGGCTGTGACCATTCCTGTACCCAAACCAACCATGGCCTACTGGGTTGGGTAGAAATGGATGGTCTGGCCTTTCCCCGTTCCATGGAGCTCCAAACAGTGATCTTTCTCCGAGAGACAAGAGTCCCTGTGAACAAGTCGCTGAGCTGTGTTCTCGTTTTTAAAGAAATACCCAGGCAGGGTAAGACACACTAGTGGCTTCAGGGGCGTGGCCTGGCCAGAGACGAACGGAGTGGGCCTTCTCCCGGAAGCCCTGCGTTCAGGCGAACGAGGAGGTGGGGGGCGGGGCGGTCATGTTAATGTTAAGTTCACACAGAACCTATTTCCTCATATGTGTGTATTAATTTATTCCGCTTCAGATGATTTTCTTTCCCCCAACCGTTCAAAGGTTTCCAAACTAAGTGATTGAATTTGATTCAGGGAATTCCAAATAAAAAGATCAGATGAAGGTAAATTCTTTGTTCTGTATTGCTGCTGTGACTTCAGAAAAAAAAAAATTATGAGAGCTCTTCCTGGAATTGAAATTTCTATTTAATGAAGAAGTGTATAATTCCATTATTTATTGTTTGAGATTTGATTTATCTGGAAACTTAAAAAGAATGTTTTATTTTTGTTGTTAATAAAAATCCCAATCACATATGCTATTTAACAATAACTAAAATGTGTCCAGGTCAGTCACTGGTGGAATTGAGGGACAAATGTGCCGGGCCCTCGTTGAGTTCGGTGAGTTTGGTGGACAGAAAAACTCTGCGTTCACGTTAGCAAGTAGAACAAATGTTATCTAGAAAATCAACTTAATTGTTGTTTTGCTATTTGATTTTTTTTTCCAGATCTTGACCGAAATGTTCAGAATAGTATCAAATTTTCACTGGCCCTCTATGCTTCTTTTGAAATTTATTATTTCAGCCTATTCCTAAATCTTTAGAAAAATATATTCGGCGCATACACCAAAGAAACCAGCTCATAAAGATTATGATCAGTAATGAACTGCAAACCTCATCTTTTGAAAACAGAAGATTTTTGTTGTAAATATTTGTGTTTATACATGTACAGCAGAGTAAGAGTGTTTTTTAGATTATTTAATTCCCATATTTCTAAACTATTTACTACAGATCAATCCACGTTTGTTAGTTTGGAGGAGCTGACTGTCTCGTTTTTCAGTACATTGTCAGTCACAGTTGGAACAGCGTTTCCGCTGAGGAATTCGGTGTCCTGGCAGTAGCGAGAGCTCACTTCCGCAGCGTGTGGGAGTCTAGCGTGACGCGTCGGGCACACACCCTAAGGGACAAGAACGTAGTTTAATGACCAGAGTGGACCAGATGAAAATTGAGATTCTAACTTTCCTGCAGAATTGCTCATTAGCCCAGAATGTGATTGGGATGAGGCCCTTTGCCCACAAATTTAGCTTTCCTGTAACCCCTAGTGTGTTATATCATACTGTATTTTGTTCTTCCTTTGTAATGTAAGTTTTGCTTTGGGTCAATTTGAATTAAAAAAAAAAAACCGTAAATCTGGTTTAAAACCTATCGGTCTTATGGTGTTTTTTTTCTAGTCTGTCTTAACTGTTTTATTATTGCCAGCTGCTAGGGGAGAGGAAACAAGTCTTTGCCTCATCACCTTTTTAGATAATTGGCAGTTGTGTAAGCGTGTAACACAGAAAACATCGGGTTTTAGATCAGATAAGGCAGTTCTCCTCCCCCCTTCACGCTCCTCTTTGGTGATGCAGCCTGCAGATACCAGCCCACAGAAGACCACCCCAGCCTTGAGTATGCGGGCCCAGCACTGAGTCTCTGTGCCTACCTTGCGCACCTGGCCCGAGGGCAGAACTGGACCCCAGTGTTCCAGGCAAAGAGCAGGGAACACAGTTCATTCACATGGGGAGCTGGAGACAGGAGCCAAATGACTTTGATTTCACACTTCCTCTATGGCGCGTGAGCACGCCTTGATTTAGGAGAGACTTCCGCTAGCGTGAGTGCGTGATGGTGTGCTAAGGAGAGCGGGCAGCAGCCAGCTAGCCCCACGTGCAGAACCGTGGTGTGGAGCCTTGTTGCAAGCTTGTCCCGGGTTTGGCACAAATGAAGGCCAAGAATGGGACATTTGAAACGCTTCCTAATGATCCACAGGGGAGTTCAGATGTGAAACATAGCTGTGTTGCTTGGAAATCTTGAGGTTATTCCTTTTCCAATATGATGTAAGAAGTAGATTGTTTTTTCAGCTGAAAGACAATTTACAAAAATACTTTACTACCCAGCGATAAAACTGCTTGATTATCTGCTTGATAAAAAAATATTTCCACATCCCACGTTGTGGGGTTTCAAAGATAAAAGAAAATGGATTTCTATCATCTGCCTGTTTTTATGTAGCTTAATTCTGTGCTCTCTTACATCTGACAAATTTTGATGTTAGGATTTATATTAGCTTAAATACCAATAAAGATTTTAAACATCCACTGCCAGATACTGATATTTAGGACTGAGTTGATGTAGACTCCTAAGCTACAAAGGTAATTTTGTCTTTATTCTGCCACTAGTTATCCTCTTATTACCTATAAATTCTCTTGTCTTTGATAATCAAAGCGAAGGATCAGCAAACATGGCGCCACTGATCTCCCAGCTCTCCTTGGTGCTGCGGCCAGGAGTGTGTAGAAATAGTGGATTTCTCGGAGAATCATGGTGTGTTTCTAGAAATTTCTCTGTGCCAGCGCAACTCTATAATTACTGAGCCGCAGTCAATGTTCCTGAATCCCACTTGCAGAGAGAGGCGATGAGTAGAAGGTCCTTTAAGACATCCCCATGTGGGAATAAAACCCTGACCTCTGCCTGGGCTCTGGTTGTCCTGAGTAGTGAGCTGTGCTTCCAGATGCATTTATTCAGCTGTGCCCAGCGGGCCTTGGGTGGAGGGTCAGTTGTGTCTCCACAAGCTAAGTGATTTATCAATTCTGAAAACCCATAAACCATTAGGCAGTAAGGTTCAGACTAAAGCAAGTTCTTTCTGTCCTTGGCAGATACAGCCTCCAGAAAAAAAAGGTCCCCCAGTTGTTTTGGAATGATTATATTGTTCCAGCATCTGAAAAATCATACCCCCTTTTTAGTGTTTTCATTAGGAAATGCCTTGAAATTCACATACATGTCGTATGTCGCATTAATAATGAAGTGATTCACCTTTTTGTGAAATAGTATTTTGTGAATCAGAAAAGAGGCAGCTTCAATTGAAAGTGGGTTTCCGCTGAAGTTGAGAAACCAGCTCCTGAGGCGAGAAGCCCGACCCTTTGTGACTGACAGAGCAGCTCCAGCTGCAGATACTTCCTATTTTATCTGGCAGAAGGAGGCATATTTTCCTTGCTGCTCAGTCTTGAGCTAATGTTCCTTTTCTTCCTCTGATGGTCCTGGGTCAGGTCAGTGCTCAGTTTTCTTTTTCTTTACCAGAAGGGAAAAAAAAAAAAAAAACATTTGCAGGGCACAGACTTTCTGTACATGACCATCTTGTTTCTCTAGAGGTTTCCCTCACTTCATTCTGGCCACTTAACCCATTAGTGGTGTGTACACGTGTTCACATGTGTACAAGTGATCATACATATTCAAGTGATTACACGTGTGTGCAAGATATACTCTGAGCCTCACCATAATACTCTGGGGGATCCTCATTCCTTTTCTCCCCTTCCTTTTGTACACAAGAACA